TGAATGCTTCTATCTCCAACACTTCACACAAAAAAATAACTCTTGCACGCCTTGCGTGCCTATGTTTTACATTGACAACAACGTAGTAGGACACGTAAAGATTCCGTCGACAAAACCAGGATCGGATCGGACCGGATCGCGGATCGGATCGCGGACCGGATCACATACCGGATCACGGATCGGATCACGGAAAAACAAAACCAAAGTTTTAAAGAAAAAAATTCCCCCCCAAAAAAATCAAATCGTTTATAAGATAATAATAAATAAAAAGTAAAAGTTGAAAACTAAAATATGTTAAATGAAAATAAGAATCCCGAATTTGACGCAATGACATGCTAATTACACAGAATGACAAGAGATCATTTGAAAAGCCACATAAGCGCCTAATTTACGACAAATTTAAATTATAATGAACAGGCAGATGTAGTTATATATTTTGAATGTTAGTTGGTTCGAAGCTTGCGTGAACCTTCCATTCTCGTTTTTGAAATTGTTTTTAGTATCAGTAGCTAATTCTCGGCTACATTTTTGTGTCAGATGTGAGCGTTACAGTGGGTGTTACAGTCAATTAGAAAAGCTTAAGGACATGACTTGCTTTAAAGGAGCTACGTCACGATTTGCGCATCTTGAAAAAACTAGCTTATAACTAGTTTTTCAAGTTCGTCATTTGCAGTCCTCGTTAATCTTTGCCATCCTTAACAATCCTTATTTCGTCCTGATTTAGAGCGGAAAGGGCTATTGACCCACAGCCCTTGAGGGCGAAGGGTCTAATTGTTTTAGTATCACTTAACTAGTCGGACAGAAAAGGCAACAATAAAGTTAGCAGATGCAAGTTGAAGAAATATTTATTTGGGAATAAAACGAATTGAAGAAAGCGAAAATAGAACTGGATTTGAACTGGCTTTCTCCTGAGTGAAAGTAGTTCTTTGAATAAACACGTAGAGGAAATTTTGCTTAAAAAATGTTTCTCCATGAATACGTTTAATATGTTTCAAATTCCTCTATTTATTTCCTATCATTCATTCTGACTAGGTATAAAATTCTAGGTGGAAGATTGTATTCACCAAGTTCGAAGGATGTAGCTTAGCCAGAGGACGCACAGTTAATTTTTCTAATTTTCTATACATTTGTCTGTATTTTCTTCCCCGCGAACCGCGTCCACCCGGCCAAATTTACAGACAAATGTATGGAAAATTAGAAAAATAAACCGATTTTGAAAGTGACAATTACTTGATAACATCTACGGTAAAGTAAGTTCCTGCGACAAAAAACGAATTAACATTACGTTTCAAAACCAACACACGCATCATCATGCACTGAAGTTGGACAGGAAGGCATGGAAAAGAAAGCAAAGAGAGGAAAAAAGGGAGGTAAAAAGATAAGGGTCAAGCTGAAAGAAGAAAAATGCAACAACCAATTTCAGAGTACGATAAGGGAAGGGACTAGCTATGAAAGGGACGTAGGACTGTAGAAAAGCTCAGATGTGGAAGAGATACCCGCAGCAACTGCAGCTCCACGAGTGGAAGTTTTGTCAGAGCTGAAATCAATGACTCAAATCATGTTTGATGTGGAAACTACTAGCCTCGGTAATTTCACTATAGAGACAACAACAACAAGAAATATATATGAAAACATTTGTGAGTCAAAAAATGCCAACATTTTGAAACATTCAACATAAGGTGGTTAAATACACCTGGCAAGTGTCACTGGTTATACATGCACTCAACCTTTGAATAACTTATTTTAACTTTGTACTGAATAATTTACAAAACCCTCCAACTTGCCTTTAGTAATGGTTTTTTCTTCTAATTTCAGCCACTAGTGCTGACATTTTACAGCTATCAGCTGTCCATGGACGAGACGAATTTAACACATACATAATGCCAGAGAAGGAAATCACCCCCACAGCATCATGACTGACACAGCTTGCAATGATAAGAGGAAGACTGTGTCACAGAGGAAAGCCAGTGGATACCAAAAATGCAAAAGAAGCCCTCAAAAATGTCATTGAGTGGTTAAAAGCAAAAGAAGGGCCAGTAGTGCTGTTTGCTCACAATGCCAAATCATTTGATTGCAAACGTATAATTTATTCTCTCAAAAAATGTGATCTCATGAGTTCCTATCAAAGTTGTGTGGTGGGTTTTGTTGATACATTAATATTGTTCAAAACAATTCTGCCGCAGAGAGAGAAATATTCTCAGGAAAGTCTAGTTGCAGATCTTTTGGGTACTTCTT